TTTTTTGATGAATATCACTCAAATAGTGCTCTTGTAATTCACCTCGATAGACCTAAATAAATTGGAGAATATCTTTGCTTTAATAATTTTTCGAATAAATATAAAAAGATAATAAAAATATATTTAACTGTTAAAGTTATAACCCGTCATATTATTTCTTCATAGGATATAGAAATCATCGATCACAATAGTTGTTTTAAACAAACTAACAAGAGAAGAGTCCATTTGATTTCAATCGAAATAATATTTAGTTGAGAAATACTAATTTTTCTATTGCTTTATGTTGGAAATTGTTTATTTGAATACTTTTAACTTACTGAATCCAAGCAACCATATTCTTTAAGTGCACAAGGTACAATAATTTTGGTACATTCTTTTTGTTTGTGTTCATCAAGTCTCGTCGTCGAATCAAATATTTCATCACAAAGTTCACACATTAAATTTTGGTGGAAGCTTTTAAGATGTTCCTAAAATATGAATTCATGATAGCATAAAAATATATGGAAAGTTTTATTTTTAATCAAAAAATTAAATCTCGGTTTTTAAATATTCGATTATTCTGATGTGCATTACTATTATAATACAAATAATTGTTCTACAATATGATGATTTTACCTCATAATCTGTGTATAAACCATTCCATTGACATAATAAACATGGAATTGATAACGACTTCATAATATCTCTGAAACCTTGATCAATCTTTATCTTAAAAGAAAGAATTATTTGTTAAATAGAAAATGTTTTCAAAAACTGACTTTGTGTTTTGGTGTTTCTTCATCACATTGCGTACATTTGATAATATTCCTTGATAAAACAAATACAGTACTTATATGAGATAAATAATTTATTTCTATATACCCTTTAGTATTTTCTGTACAAATTTTACATAGACGATGATCACATAAAAGTTGACAAGGTTCTCGTAAAATGAAACCACACAATTGACATAGATACAATGTATTAATATCTTTTCTATTTTTGTTACTAGATTTAACCATTCTTAAGAAATACTATAATATGAAAATTAAATATTTCAAAAAAAAATTCCATGAGAACATCATAATTTTATGTTCTTATATTCTTTTTAATTTCAACGGCATAAATTGAGTAAATGCCAATTTGTAAAATGATTCATTATTGAACCTTTCTTTATTAAAATATGTAGTATTTTCTATAACACTAAACTTAATCTTAGTAACTCTAGTATATGTCTATAAGGTTGACTGTAAAATTTCGCAAAACAAATCCACAACACTTCTGAAAAAAAATAAGAAACGCTAATCACTTTGAGAACAAACGAAACTATATTCTGAATTTCAAAGGAATACCACACTGTACATGATATTTATCTTTTAGATCATTGCTTGATGAAAAAAAATATTGCTAAAATCGAAAGTTACTTCTACAGTGTTTAGCTACACTGCAAAAAACAAGGATTTTTTGGTATAGTTCACTAAAGTACAAATGATGGTGCTCTATCATTTACTCAACGACTATTTTATTAACTGTAATATATCTATCTGTGGCTTTTTTATATCTGCTTATCGAGTTTCTGCTGTCTTTTTTTTATGTGATAATTATCATAACATGCATGATAGATAAATTTTCTCCTCTTATCTTATGGGATATATTCTGTCCATATATATTACACAATCTTTATCGTTTAATTAGAATATTCAATAAACACTTCAACTTAGACTAATATAACGTCATTATCTTGTCACAGAAGCAAAGGGATGACGTGTCTTTAAGTGATGAAATTGTTTCTCCCTTCCCATTCAAGTTGAGCTTTTTATTTCTCCAGTATTCAATTTAGATGTCAGAAGTCGATTATCGTTCAAATTCAACTATCAGACTTTATTCGCTGCGTGTGACTGACTCAAAATTCAATACCATCGATCTTCTTCAGCGTTGTGCTATGCAATATTTACAGGAAAGGTTTGTCTTCCTTCTTCAAATTGTTTAATTTGACTTATATATCAAACGAAAGTTCTTTCTTTCCTCTATCGAATGACATATGTGAGTATGACAATAAATTGTTCTTGTCATTTTCTCTTCACATGGCGTTATTCATTCCACAGATAACACATGGAGACAGTCATAATAAAAGTTGTCTCCTATTGAGCAGTGAAAGCAGTTCTTCATCTTGAACTATAGATCACTCCATAGCCTTTTCAAATGTCAAAAGTTACGCATTTTTTGATCAGTAGTTGACGGAATTTTCGTTACAACAATCAAACTTCTTAACAAAACAAATGATATGTTTAGAATCAGCATAGAAAGGTGAGTCGATCTATATTTATCACAAAATTCTCCAAAAAGTTTTATTTTCGTTCAAAATTTACTTCTGGAGTCTTTCTCAGAGCCACGTCGAAAAAGAAAGTCAATTAAAATAGTTTTTTTTATTTACCCATCTGTCATTTTGATCTTTCTAGATTTTAAAAAATTGACATATGATTTTTCAGTCATACTGACTTTTTTCGTCGGCTTAACTATGAGAAAGGCCAGGACTAACTTTCTGCAGAAAAAATGAAAATTGATGGTTTGTTTTGTGACGTACACAGATCGACTTCGTTTTTCATAACTTATATTAAATACTTAGAACATACCAAAAGTAGTGTCGTCCTTATCTTATTTCTATATAAAAACCTTTAAAACATTTTCTTTTCTTACATCGAGATAGAGAAAATGACGCTCTATTTTTCTGTATTATTCAATCACTATTGAACTAATATTGTAATCATAAAGTTACGATAAGAATCGTTTTTCTGTAAAGTGTGAGTTTGATACTAATGGTATTTCAAAAACAAAGCTGACGAGGGAACCGTTCCAACTGATAAATCGCTTTTTTAATGAAAGCTGGTGGGTTATAGGTTATCGACTATGCTGATTCCGAATATGAGTATGAGGAGTGCCCTTAGGCCTTCATAGGGTGGGTTTCTGGAAAACCAGGTCTTCAGAAAACTAATTTAAATGAAATTTTTGTTTTTGATCTGCTCAGATTATAGAGCACATTGAGTTGCCTATAAATCAATAATTTTTCCTGCTTTGCATGGATTGTCTTGAATAAACAACATTAAACTTTCCTATTTGTACAGTGAAATGCTAGTAATATGCATCTACTATATGAATTCCATTGACTGTATGTCATCGTAAAATCTATTTGAAACAAAAGAAAATATCGATTAATAGACAACTTGATGTGCTTTAT